TTTTTGGAAATTTTATGGAAGTTTTGGGAAGGACGTCCAAAAAGTGCATCAACACCAGAAATCATAGTAAAAATACAGGATTTGGTTTTGGAAGACAGGCGATTGACTGTGGATGAGATAGTTGACACCGTACACATCTCACATGGTACAGCACATAATATTTCAAGTGAGATTTTGGGTTTAAAAAAGCTGTGTGCACAATGGGTGCCGCATTTGCTAACAATGCAACAAAGACACCTTCGAATGCGACTTTCTCAACAACATTTGGAGCAATTTCAAAAGGATCAAAAGAATTTTGTGCGTCAATTCATCACTATAGATGAGACTTGGGTCTATCACCGTGATCCTAAATCAAAACAAGAGGATAAAGATTGGTGTGGGCCTAAATCTTTGGCTCCAAAGCGAGTTTGTGTCCTGAAATCAGCCATGAAGGTGTTAGCGTCAGTTTTTTGAGATGCAAAAGGAATTTTGTTGGTGGATTACCTCCAAACTGGTAAAACAATCGATTCTGATTATTACTATAGACTTTTGGACCAATTGGATAAAAAAATTCGTGAAAAAAGACCCAGTTTGCAAAAGAAAAAAATAATTTTTTATCAGAATAATGCACCCGCCCACACAGCTCAAAAAACCATTGCCAAAATTACTAAATTGAAGTACGAATTGCTGCAACATCCACCCTATTCGCCAGATTTGGCTCCCTCTGACTTCTGGCTGTTCTAACTTTTTTTAAAATTTATGCGTGGACAGCATTTTTCATCAAACGAAGAGGTGATAGCAGCTGTGAAAAGTTATTTTGCAGGCCTTCCAACGAATCACTATAGAGATGCTATTAACAAGTTGGAGGAAAGTTGGAATAAATGTGTTGAGCTTCTGGGAGAATATACTGAATAATAACAATAATATGCATTTCAAACCATAAAATTGTATTTTTCATTTCTATTCTAGAAACTTATTGACTAGCCTGGTATCTATAATTTGTGTATACTCATTCATTATTCCAAATGAATGTTAGCAAAAACCCTCAATTTTTTATATTATCATTTGGCATCAGCTTAAACATACCTAAATTTGGAGTTTTTAAAATACCTAAAAATGTCATACCTAAAACATCAAAAAATCCTGCGTCCACAGTCCTTATATAAAAAAAAAAAAATTTTGAACTTTTTCAAAATAAGTATATTTAGTTATACTTTATAAATTAAATATTTAACTAAGTAGTAAGTTTTTTTTTTAAAAATAAATTATAATAAAAGTAAATTAACTAAAGACTGAAATAGTTAAGATTAAGATTTAAATTTTTAAATGAGTTTTAATTTTAATACTGTTCACTTTAAAACTAATTTATTTTTTAATGTCAATAGGGGAACCTGTTGTATCTTTGACCACTTTTTGCTTTAAGGCGCTTTTTGCCTAGTCTATTGAGTAAAGTTAAACCATTTAAACTATATAATATTCTCTCATATTTTGCCAAAAAATTGTACTTAGGACTTTTTTTTCATTCGACTAAGAAGTATCTTTTTACCGCGTTTTAAAAAAAGAAGTCTATTGGTCAAAGGTACAACACATGTACCTTTGACCGATGCGCGTTGTACCTTTGACCAAATTGTTATTATTAAAAAACCATGCAATGTTGGAACCTCTTTAATATTTTAGCTTGTTATATGTTATATAGCAACTTCTGGCCTACCTTTGTCAATAAAAAAACAAATCTTATTATTTTGTAACCAATCCTAATTGTCTAAAAAAATCCTTACAATATTGCCAAGACTCGTTTATCGAAGTTACGATACTCAGTCAGTATTACTAATAGTGTTACTAATTTTTTAAAATAAAATCAGTTATTATAACTATTTAGATGTCACATATTTTTTTCAGTAAGATGCTACTTACATGAAATATTTAGGGTTAAGGCCCAAAACTTTAAATGCGATTCAGTACAAAATATGTTTTCTAATATCTATAGTTATTTTTATTATTTAAGATAAGAAAAGAGCAAAAATAGATTTTTATAACTTATATCAGCTGGCGGTCTATATTCATTTACATATGATCATAATGCTTTTTAAAGGAAATATTTTGATGGTGACAACAAAAAAAAAAAAACCAATAATAAAAGAGTATAATATATTAATTATTACAAATAGTCAGATCAACATCAAATATAAGATACTGACGTTTAGATGAACCATCACCAATACTTGGTGGTGGAAGTTTCATAATAATATCTTCAAGTTCCACTTCATAAAGATTGTCATCTTCTCTTATAAATTTGTTACAAAAGTCTCCTGATTTCTTAAGATACTTAATTTTGTAAACTATACCAACAACTTCTATAACTTCTGCTACATAAAGTCTAGAGTATTTCTTTCCGACCAACTTGACAATTAAAAAACTTCCAGAAACAATTTTACTTTCATCATGAAGTATATTTACTCCAAAATCAATTTCATCAGAGCTTTCACTATTTAAACACATGTCAGACTGACTAAAAATAATCTGTTTTGCCATTTTTTTTCTTTTGCTTGAAGAGGACTTTTTAAATTGTTGGTTATTAGATTTTGCATCTAAAATAACTTTAATTTCAGGTGTATCAGTTAAAATACGTGATTTTCCCTTACGTCTTTTTGAAGTATTTGTTTTTCTTAATTTGGCTTTAGGATGAGGTCGTATTATCTCAGGTGAAACAATAAATGATTTTGATGGTAAACTCACAATAGGGATTTCCCCTAAAACAATAGATGATGTTGATGGTAAACTGGATTGAGCAGTTTTAACATTAATACTTTCATTAGAAATGCAAGCTTCAGTATATACTATTGGCCTATTCGTAACATTTGCAGCTAAAAAGTCAATATCAGTAAAAATATTTTCATTAAATGGATAAAATCCAGTACATTTAAAACTGTTTATAATATTATTTGGTACAAAAGCATGAGGATAAGCTTGACCAACAATGTAAGATATATCATAAATTGTAACTGGTTTACCAGCATTACCTGGTGATATCATCCAGTTATTTATGGCATTGTTATAAAAAGTTTTAAATGGTCCAAAAACACCACGATCAAGAGGTTGCATTTTATGGGTTGTGTGAGGATAAAATGTCATTAAAACTATGCCTGATTTTTTTGCTAACTCAATAACAGAAATGTTTACATGACTCTCATGATTATCCATTAATAAAAGAACAGGTTTTTCAATTGATGGTCGCACATTATTAATAAAATGTTCAAGAAATTGCAAAAAAATGACTTCATTTGACCATCCGGACTTATTAGCTGCTCCTACACTTCCAGGAGGACAATTATTTAACATGTGATCTTTGAATTTAGCACGTGGAAATACAAGTAATGGTGGGATGCTATTTCCAGTAGCATTAATGGCTGCAATCATTGTTACATTATTGCCTCGTTCAGCACTAGTCATGCTCCCTATTTGTTTTTTGCCTTTTGGAGCTAGAGTTTTTAGTGGTACGTGAACTGTGGTAATTCCTGTTTTATCACAGTTCCAAATATTTGATGGATCAAAATGATAACATTCTAAAACATTTTTGTAATTTTTATATACAATTTTTACGGTTTCTCTATTGAATGCAGATGATCTACCAAGACTTGTAGGTTGTGGTTTACGTAGAGATAGCTTGTTATTATATCTTTTGCGAAAATTTCGTAGCCATTGTTCATCTGCACATTTATTTTTTATCCATGAAGTTTCAACTTTTTTATGATTTTCTAAAGCATACTCGTATGCAAAGGACCTTATCTGCTTTAATGTTAGTCTATAATGCATATTTGCAGCATCTACCAAGTAGTTTACCAATATTAATTCTTCTTCTGTTGAGAATATTTTTTTTGGTTTGGTATGCGAATATAAATATTCGCAACTACCAGATTTTTTAAATTGCTTTAACTGGTATATTAAAGATGATTTTTTAATGTTGCAATGTCTTGCAGCTTTACTTAAACTCATTTTTTGTTGAATCACAAAATTCACTGCATTAAGCATATCCGTTTCGGAAATCTTTTGGCGAAAAACACCAACCTTGCTCCTTGGCATTTTAAGACTAAAATAAATTAACAGAATTAACTATTTTTATACATTTAAATCCCTATAGCTGTGCAGAAATTAGGTAATAAAATGAACTTGATAATAACATTGCTTCAGCTATCCAACTAACTAAATTAACAAAATTGATTATTCTAAATGTAGTAGGGGTCCAAGAATAAATAAATAATTGCATTAAAATTCAATGGAATTATTTCATTACCATTATACTAGAAACAATTTTGCATTAAAAAGCAATAGAGTAGAGACGCCTAATAAAGTAGATATAAACTTTATAAATTTGCGCTCTTAAAGTCCGCAAATTAACAAGGAAACAGTTTTTGTCGGTCAAAAGTACAACGTTCTAGTCTGGTCAAAGGTACACGAGATGGGTTTCTTTATCAATTATCGTCTTAATCCCCATTTACGGTCAGACATAACCATCCAAACTTTTCCATAACAAAAAAATGATGTTGGAAAATATTTATAATGTCGTAGATGAATCAAACAACAATTTATCACATTTTTAAAATCAGAAAAAGGTTAACACATTTACTTTTTACTTTTTACTATTTACTTTTTAAGAGCCAAAACTTATAATTACTTGTGGATCGATACCATCTATCCCAAGTATGATGTTTTACGGTAAGAAGAGTTGTCATGGACTATTGTTTCAAATGGCACTTCACGTTTTTTGAAAATAATAATAGTAAGCCGACAGAGTAGAGTGACCAAAGGTACAACGTGGTCAAAGGTACAACAGGTTCCCCTACTGTTTACTTTAAAACTAATTTATTTTTTAATGTCAATACTGTTTACTTTAAAACTAATTTATTTTTTAATGTCAATACTGTTTACTTTAAAACTAATTTATTTTTTAATGTCAATACTTTCACTTTAAAACTAATTTATTTTAATAATAATAAAAATATATATTGTTAAAAAAACTTTAGATACCAAGGTAATGAAAGATTTTACATGCAACAAGACAAACAGCGATTTTATGAATTTTGTACCATGTTACAAAAATTTAAACATCGATGAAACAATTCTCAATGTATCAATCAGACTTTTGACAAAATGGAATGCTGACTATTTCGAATCAAGATACAATGGTATTTTTTTATTTTTATATTGATTAATTTTAATTTTAATTGATAATAATTTTTCAAGTTTTTAAGGTGCTCCCAATAAGCATTTAACGAGCACGCTTCGCCCTCTAACTAATGCCGTAATTTATAGCACTCTCTCATAGCTCATATATTGGTATACTTTAAATTGTAATATATTTTGTCATATTTTGAAGCATAGCTCCACGTTGTTTTAATTTTTAAAAAACAAATAATTAAAGGTAATATACAGTGAAAAAAGTAACATTCAGTAAACTAATAAGATGCAAGTTAACTAATTTTTTTTTTTTTTTTTTGTTCTTTTTTTAAATGTTTTTCAATATTAGTTGTTTTACATTATAATAATTTCAGTAATATAATAGAATAACTACAAGATTAATTAAGTTTGTAAGAGAAAGAACGCGGGATCTCGTAGAAGACCTTAAGATCTTGTCGTCAACAACTAATTAGATGCAGATCAAGATACTATTTCTTCAGAAAGGAAAAAATCCTTAAAAATTGTAACATACTTACCAGTGTGACATTTAAAAGCTATAATTATTTTAGAAAATTGATTTAAAAGCACCGTAAAATTTTATGTCACTATAACAAAAATCACGAGTGTACTCCTACGGTTTGAATACTCATTATTATGGTTTTCGAACTTTCGAACTTTTGAATGTTCATAGTATTCAAACCTCACACTTGACTTTAAAATTGTATTCGTTATCTTTCACTTCAAGGTTCAGAGCAACTAAACTAGTTTCTCAATTAAAAAATATGAACTTCGAATCTCGATTCTCGAATCTCGATTGGTAAAATTACGAATCTTGATTGGTAAATTTACGATTAACTACACTTTCAGAACGATGAATGAGTGGCAATTTGATTCAGTATTTCAAAATTGATAAGAGTTTTAATAAGGCCATGTTCCTAAATCCAAATATAACACCCTTTTATTTTTCAAATTGTACTGCAGAAAACTTACAAAACAATCTCCACAACCATGCCATTGTCAAATAACTCGCATAGATATAACTTCCCATTTTGGCATTACAATGGAATACTTTGCCTTTTTCTGTTGTTTCCTCACATTCTGTCAACGAAATTTAAAAAAATACAATAAATTTTGTTGCTCCACTAGAATCAAGTCTACTATAGCAGGACGTCGTTAGATGTCCAGTTTATAGATGCTAACTTCTTCTATTATAGATTATTTATAATAATAATATATCGATATCATGATCGAAAAGTTATAAGCTACTTGTTTACAAAAACATTACCTGAAATAACTATAACAATATAAATATTCTTGCTTTTGTTTATAATTACACGAATAATTGTTAATTTTAAGCCTCGTCACAATTTTTAATTTTGTCTAGAATGCAATTGTAACGAGAACTTAATGAACATCATGATTTTGGACATTGAAAAAGACTTAACTTTGTACTTATCCCCTACCCAGGTTACCGTACAATCAGCAATAAGCCAAGTGAGAAATGTCGTTAACTGCATGCCAGGTGTTTTAGTTGGTAAAGTATGGGATGTTTATGATATGTTAATTGAAAAAAGTGCGATTTTATCGAACGTTGATAATGAGCTTAATAATTACATCGATTTCTTAAGAAATGCAATTCAAAGCTGCAAAGGAAAAGGTTTGCTTCTATTTTTTTATTTTCATAGTAATTTCAGTTTAGAAAGTAGTATGTTAACTGAATTTTTAAACATTTTTTTATAGTTAACCCCGTGGATTACATCAAAAGAGTGATTCAAACCGAGCTTTAAAATTTTAAAAGTCTTTTAGCTTTATTAAGTCTGTTTATATTTTACGCAATCACCTAAAATATATTTTCTTTGTTGCGCACAGTATTTATTTTTAATTTTTTTTAATAATTAAATTAAAAATTGTTTCATTTTTTTTTTTGCTTGATAGCTTAAAACTTTTTTAAGATAGTTTAACGTTTTCATCTTCATAAGCGTGAAATGTTAGTTAAACTTAACTTAAAGAAGTTTGTTCTAAACGATTAAATAATATTTGTTATTTTTATTTTTCAAGTACTCATCAGGCTTGCGTAAGACTTGCAAAAGTAGTGCAAGTAAGAGTTGCAATAGTAAGATTTTAGTCGAACACCTTAAAATTGATTTCAACCTTAACAAGCTGATGATAAAGATGATGATGACTTTGGCTTCTCTTAAAATAGAGATAAGACTTATTCATCATGCATCAAATCGCTTCTTTTTTTTTGTGAGTTAATAATAATTTAACGTTTTCACCTTCATAAGCGTGGAATAATAGTTTAACTTAAAGGGCCGACCCGGTGTCGTCGGCCCTGACTTAACTTTATAAGTTTACTTCTAAAATCTTGCTATTTTATTGTAAAAAAAGAAATTTGAATTTTTATAAGTCTTACGCAACCTTATTTATATATTATGTTTTATCACATATACAACTTTTTTTATATATTATACTTTATTATTACATATACTTTTCTATAAAGGCGATGAAGGACCTTTCACTATAAAAGGTTGTAGAGCTCCTCTGCTTTTCATGTAAAAAAAATAAATACAATAAGTTTAGAAAAAAATAGTAAAAGCAAAAATAGGAAGATTCTTTTGGTTATACGAATACAAAATGAGACTATTTATCAATGGCCACCCAGTGGCGAAACTATGGGCCCGCAACTGCGGATAGGCCGAGGCAAAAGGGCCCATTTTCAAGCCTGAAAACTATTAAAAGTTATTCACTGATAAACTGTGATCTTTTTTGGGTTGTTTATTATTAAAATTTAATTTTATATATTTTAAAAAGTTTATATAAGTTTTAACAAAGTTCAATTTATTGATCCTTATCTTTTTTATTCTATTTGAATTTCAAAGTTTTAAAAAAAAGTTTCAGCCAATCTTTGCTTTTATTTTTCTCATTTAGTTAAACTTTCGAATGTAATAAAAAATTCGAATGAAAACTGTTCAAAGTTGTTTTTAAAATTTTTGTTTTTGTTTTTTGTTGTATAACACAACAAAAAACAAAATCGTTAATGTTACAAATGATAAAAATTATTATTAAGCCTACTTTTTTTTTAAATTATATATTTAAAATTTAAATTTAAAAATAAAAAACTGTGCTAATGATGGCTAGCAAGCCTCTAATTGGAGCAGCTAAACGACAGAAGAAAATAAAAATTAGAAAACGAATATAAAAAACTATGACTCATTTTTGCTAGCGGCTTAGACTAAAAAGGAAGAAACACAATCTGTTGCAAACATACTTAATTTGGAAAGTAAACAGAAAGATACCAGAGAGAGTGATAGTAAAATTAGTGAGCTACAAATAAATTCAAATTCTCAAGTTAACAGTTTTAAAGACAGTACTGTTGCATCGGATTTGTGCGATCACGACTCGCTAGATCTCATTATACAATGAAAATAAACCATTCAACTCTATAACACTTGTAAACTTTGAAGATCCTACTGATAGAGGGCATTATCCAATCGATATAGTTGATCAAAATATAAAAAAATTCATTGCTGCACATAGATCATGTCGTCCAAAGGGACCTTTTCCGAGAGACAACAAAAACAGATGTTTTTCTGTTAGTTACTATAACACAACGACGAAGTCAGGTTTGATTATACCGGTGACTTGGTTGTGCTATTCCAAAAATTTAAATGCTGCATATTGTGAAGTTTGCTGGTTATTTGGTGATAGAAATGTTAAAAGCTATCGCAAAAGTTGGAGTAAATGTATACAGGAATGGCAGGGGTTTTCTAAAATAATTAATTAACATACTAGTTCGAAATGCCATAGTTCGTTTTGCATAATATATAATATATCTTAATGAACAGATTACAGAAGAAATTAAGTCTGCATTGTTCTACTCAATCATTCCTGATACTACTCAAGACATTACAAAGAAAGATAAATTAAATTTAACTATCCGCTATGTAGAAATAAATAAAAATAGTGATGGCTATGCAACCGAGATGTCAATAACTAAAAGTTTCATTGGTTTCTTCTGAACACATGATCAATGTGCTGAAGAATTATCTAATCAAATCCTTGAAATTCTGAAAAAGAAAGGAATATCTTAACGATGACGAAGATTTTGATCTTTGAATTTTGAAGAATTGATTATGTCACCGGTATAATCAAACCTGACTTCGTCGTCGTTAAGATATTCCTTTCTTTTTCAGAATTTCAAGGATTTGATTAGATAATTCTTCAGCACATTGATCATGAAATTCTGAAAAAGAAAGGAATATCTTAACAAAAGTGCCGTTGGTAGAGATACGACGGTACCTGTGTTATGTCAGGTATTTATGGAGGTGTTTAAAAACGTATTAGTGATGAACAACCATCTGCGGTATATGTTCACTTCGCTGCACATAACCTTTACCTTGTTATAAACGATTCTGTTAATAAAGTTCCTGAAGTTGGTAATTTTTTCACTGTTTTACAAAATGTATATAAATTTTTCAGGATTAGCATTAACAGATGGGACATGCTTAGCAGTGCAACTGGAGAGTCAACAGTAAAATTGAAAAAATTAAACCCGACTTGATGGGCTGTACGAGCACAAAGTTTGCTTGGTATAAAAATTAACTATTTCAACACCTTAAAGCTATTGACTTCTATTAATCTAACATTGCTCAAAAAAGAAAAAAAGGATGAATCTTTAAGACTTACACTGTTAAAAAAATATCGCGTTTTTTACGGAAATTTCCGGCAGCAGATTTTCCAGAAAGTTTCCGTTGTTTTACGGAAAAATAAAGTGTTGAAGGAAATTTCCGTATAAATTACGGAAAATATCTATCATCGTAATAACAGATATTTCCGTATTTAAACGGATATTTCTGTTAACATGTGACTGCTTTTTCTGTAAAATAACGGAAAATTTCTGGAAAATCTGCTGCCGGAAATTTCCGTTGAAAGCGCAAAATTTACTTTTCTAAAAATGTATTCCTTAAACGATAAAAAAAATTAATAACATAAATATATTCTGCAATTATTAATGTCATAAGTTGCTCTAAACATTGCATAAAAAAAAGTTAAATAAAAATTTATATGTATATATATAGATATTATATATATGCTTTTAGAACAAATAACTGTTATCTTTCTTTCTTTTTGCGTTTTTTCTCGCATTCTCTTGATTATAGTCAAACATATCTCTAAACACAAAATAAATTACATAATCATGACATAGATTATAAATTAAAATCTGTGAAATTAAGAAAGATAAGCATATATTGTGAGCCTTCTTTTACTTTTTGCATAAGCTTATTCTTTCTTTTTAAATTTTTTTAAGCTTACATATTGTATAAGCTTTCGCATAAGCATTTTTCAAACATTTTATATGCTTATAATATAAACTTTAGCTGCTTTGAAAAATTTGTTTTTACCTTGAATCAACACCAGTAGTCTATTAACATTATGATCGTATCTTGTGTTCTTGATATGATGGACCATAAATAAATTCATCAAATGGTAGACCACAAGCAAAATTATCAGTTTAAAAATAACAATAAAAACATTATTAATATAATATAATAAAAATTAGTTTAAAAAAATTAAACGAACTCTTTAACTTTTTATTAAAATATAAATATTATTATTACATTTATATATATATATATATATATATATATATATATATATATATATATATATATATATATATATATATATATATATATATATATATATATATATATATATATATATATATATATATATATATATATACATTTACTATTTTTCTCTCTACATAGTATCCAGATTCAATACAATGCTTTTTCAGTGCTTCCAGATTCCATATTTATACTTTATGCTTTGTGGATTTTAACTTTTTAAACTTTCCATATTATAGCCAACCATATACCTAACAACACAAATATAAATGCTTTAATACAAATGAGTGAAAATACAAATGAAAATATAAATACAGCAAAATCACGAATACAAATGAAAATATGAATACAGCAAAATTGTAAATCTTTGTCCGGAGTTTAAGACATTCAATTCTTAAAACAAAAAATATATTGCTTGTTTTAAGAAATAAACTTCCTCTCCTGCAATTTATTTCTTAAAACAAGAAATATATTTCTTAAACTATAAACACTAGATTAACAATATTGCTGTAAATCTTAAAGCTAGAAAAAAATTTGCTACACTGTAACTTATTTCTTAAAACAAGTAATATATTTCTTGTTTTAAGAAGCAAATTGGGGGATAAGAAATTTATTTCTTAAACAAGATAAATATTTCTTGTTTAAAGAAGTAAATGTCTTAAAATATGGACTAAGATTTAAGATTTTGCTGTGAAGAAATGCTACTTGTAATACTTTTCATTAGTTAAAGATTTATTGTTCAAGATTTATTAGTTAAACCTTATGGATTACTTGGCATTAATTAGAAACTGTTTTAAAATATCTTTTTTCTTCTTAAATTTTTTTTTTCACATTACTTTGTTAGAACATCAATGAAAAAAAAAATTTTTTTCTAAAAAGAAAATGTATACTTTTATCTCTTTTTCTTTACGTATGAATGTATCTACATATAGAGTATGCAGTGACTCCTACATCAGCACAACTTGCTCATTTCCAATTAACTCTAATTGATTCCATAGGCAATCATATATCCTGCAATTGAAGTGCACGCAGATGGTTTCAGAAAATAGAGAGTGTGATCCTTCATATATTGCTATCAGATCTAGAAAACATTGTTTTATTTTATGTTGCAGATTTTAAAATATTTTAAGTTATTGTTAAAAACATTTCATATTTTTAAATTTTGCTTAATTATATCTTTAACTATAAATACTAATATATAAATAATTGTGCAATTTAATTAAATTTTTTGGATAAAATATTCAAAACACTAATATATTAAATAAGAAAGAAAATTAAGATGCAA